CACGCCCGGAACCTCAAGTCGCAAGATACTTCAACAGCTGACCCACCTCATCAGAAAGGCGAAGTCAGAGGCCGCTGGAGAATGCGTGTGAAGGGCGAACTGCCCCCTCTGAGAAGGACGCTGGAATGTCCCTCTCCTGCAAATCAGCCAGAAAAAGGCACTCTCAGAGGTAGACAAACCCACTGGAAATCAGGAACCAGCCAACGGAGCATGACACACGCCCCAGCCGTGGGGCGCAGACACCAGAGCAGAGGGAGACCAGGAGACAGAGCCTCTTTTTCACGGAGGGAGAGCAGCCTCGCCCTTCTGGAAAGCAACAAGGAAGCACCCCCAGCAGCACCACTCTGGCTTCGGGGGGGCCTTAAGGATGTCTGTGCTGGACTGTCTGGGGAGCGGATGGGTTGTCTGGGGGGTGGCTGAGTTCACTGGGGATGTCTAGGTTGTCTGGGAGGAATTTTGGGGGATCTGGATTATTTGGGTGGTGTCTAGGTTGTGTAAAGGGTGTCTGAGTTATCTCGGGGATGTCTGGGTTATCCAGGGGTGTCTGAGTTAACTGGAAGTATCTGGTTGTCGAGAGGTGAATATCTGGGAGGGGTGTGGATATCTAAAGGATATCTGGGTTGTCTGGGGGTATCTGGGTTAACTGGAATATCCGGTTGTCTGGGGGTGTGGATATCTGAGAGGTGTGGATATCTGGGGAGGTGTGGATATCTGGGGGGTGTGGATATAGGGGGTATGGATATCTGGGGAGGTGTGGATATCTGAGGGTGTGGATATCTGGGGAGGTGTGGGTATCTGGGGGTGTGGATATCGGGGTGGGGGGAGGCTATCTGGGGTGGGAGTTGGAGGCGGCCTCACTGCTTCAGTGAGCTGGACAAGTTAAAGGCGGTGGCATCACTGAGAAACACATGAATTTTAGAAGCAGAGGGACCCCTATGAACAGTGACGTGGGCACGGGCGCCGGCGTCTGAGACCCCAGGGCGAGCGTGGCCGGTTTGCTCCCAGCAGCACCCCAAGGCTGCAAATACTGACGCCAGACGTATTTGCTGGATGAATTACTGAACGAAGTTAACATCCAAGCGCACTAAATATTTTACGAAGACGGCACGCGTGTACCCCGTTACAGGGAGAAGGGGACCAGCGAGAGAGTAAAAAGGAAAACGTAAACCACAGCAGGTCTCGCCGGCAGCCGGCCTGAGGGCTGGCAGCTGCGCTCTGCTGAGACCTAATCCTGTCGCAGTTGTAAGGGCCACAGCGGGAATGGGGGAATGGATGGGCTCCGGGCGGGCGCACGAATGAGGGGCGGGGGTGAAGGTCAGGAAGGCGGCAGGGAGCACCAGGCCCCAGAGCCTAGGTCTGGGGCTGGTCCGGGCCACACGACCCCGGGGTGATGGGCAGGAGGTCAAGGCTGGAGAGGGAGCGGGCTAGGCAGGTGACGTGGGGACCTGGCGTGCGCGGCGGGCACCAGTGAGGAAAGACACCCCGCGGTGTCCGCGCTCGGAGCCGGGGAAGGGCGCCAGGTCCCCCGTCTGTGTCTGCAACACCCCAGAGAGCGTGGGGGCCTCCGCGGCTGCAGTGACGGCCAGGCTTTGAGTAGAGGAGGGGCGACACTGCGAGACCCAGAACGAGGAGCCCCTTCTTTGCTGGGCTGGGCGACTTGGGGGCCGGGGATGCGGCCGGTCCAGCCCCAGCCCACCCCTTCCCCA